TGCATAAATACAAATTTAAAGTAAAGCTGAAATTGATGTCAAAATTACTGTCTTGGAGTTTTTACTTTTCCCTTCTTACAGTTTTAAACATGTTGGTCTTTAGGAGATTAGTATGAGGTGAAGTGTGTCTAAGTCAGTCTTGTCTAATTCTCAGATGAGATTCCTGCTTTGAATTACCAATAATTTAAGAGGAGAAGATCTGGGTAAACTTTCTCCCTCCTTTTAATAAAGAAACCAGACAGGTCTGGTGTACCCAGTGTACCCAGACTCCTTAGGCTTGGCTTAAGTGTTCAAGTAAAAATCCACCGGACTATTCCAGCAGAATACAAACTATATTCTGGGGTTAAGTATAAAGTAAACACTGGGGCAGGAGTTGTCCTCGGACAATAGCCTTAGTATGGAACAAGTTGCTTTTTGTGCATGCAGGTGCCTGAAACAAGAGCCAGCAGAGCAAACTTCAAAGCCACTTAATATTAGAGTCCATTGTAGTCAAACGTGTTTTTAACTTTAATTTTCTAGTGAAACAGCTTAACGTGTGAGCTAATAAGGCTGTGTCTTCAATAGTTACCATTACCTGGGGGATAGAGGGAGATAAAGATTTTTTTTTTTTTTCTGATTTGAGAATCTTAATGCTTTTGCAATACCTGCCTTAACTCACTAGAATAGAGTTCTTTTCTAAAAGAGAAAAGTGCAAGGTAGTCCTGTGTTTTGTTAATACACAACATACCCATTTTCTCATATATTTGATTTGAGATTGTTACAGATAAGAATATTGTAACCCTTTGGGATCCACTATCCTGGGCTTAAGCTTTAAAATCCACATCCATAGGAGAAGGGGATTCATGTTTGTATTTTTTAGCGGAATGACACTTCTGCTTTGTTCTGATTTATTCTCTTTAAGGGGAACTTGGGAAACATTCAGTAAATCTGATTGGAAAACAGTTAACCTAATGTATTCATCACATATAGACACTTCGATATCTCTTTTCAAGTGATGTAGATTTGCTCCATGTTGTTCATAAGATAACAGTGAATTATAGAAGCTATGTTTTTAGTAGTGGACCCTTCTGTATCATGTAGAGAGATTAATATTTTAAATAATATAAAAACTAGAGAACAAATTAGCCTAAAAATGTTGAGCTTTATAATAAGCCTGACCTACAAGAGCTGACTCGTATGTACATTAAGTTTTATTTTTTAATTTTTTAAGCAAAGTCATTTGAGTGGATGGGAGTGAAATAAAAAGGCAATATTGAAATTGTCTCAAAATAAACTTAAAAAATATTTAAGGAAATTGCTCTTTACACTGAAAAGCTGGTAACTCAGGTATTTTAATGCTAATGCCACATTTTAATGCTAATGCCTTGGAAAGTTTTCAGCAAGGAGGCATTAAGAGTGTTTAATTAACTACAGATAGCATCACATAAATATTTGACAAATTACCTTAGTACTAACAGAATCAGGTGAATACTAGCATTAGAGTGATGTTTAACATGAATTTTTTCCAACATAATGCTCA